GCAAGTCCTCACTTCAAGGAGATTAAAATTAAAATTTAATAATGATTTGCTATTTCTGACCTGGAAGAGGTATGTCATAATCTTGATGTCAAAGAGATTATTTTGGATTCCTGGCTGTTACAGGTTTGGCTGTGTCATGTCACCAGGATCCATCAGCTGTGCACAGGCAAACTCCTCCAAATTGCCATATAAAGTTAATCAGTAGATCTCACATGTGATCTGAGTATTGGTCATTGTTATGTATGAAAAATGAAGTGGGTTTCTCTTAGCTTCAAAAGGTGATTGAGACAATTAGAACAGAAATTTTGGCTCTTTTAAAAAGCCATCTTTTCTGCTTTGGTATCTCCTCCCTCAACTGCAAGGATGATTTCCTGACCTTGAGGAGCCATTGTTGTAATTACCCCACAAGGACATCCTCACAAAAGGGTTGCTAGCAATGCCTATGTAGAGTGTAAGACCTACTTATCCACCTATGTATTGTTTATTAGTCTGCAAACAGAAGCTGAAAAGTAGCAAAAATGCAATTTTTAATGTGTGCTTTCGTGGATGACAGAGAAGAGAGAAACCTCTCTTCTGGCAAAAGAGACAGGGCAGGGGTTTGAACCAAAGTGAACCTGTTTGTTGGCACCCCCACTTTAGAAAAAGACAGTTTTACGTTTGCAAATAAATGCACTATTCAGCAGAATTCCAGCCCTTCCACCAGTCACTTTCCTAAACAGGAGACTTTCCTATGAGATGCTGGATGTCTGCTGCTGTTTCCCAGAGGAGGTTAGTGCCAGAGGGCGTTGGTCTGTTTTCTGAAAGGGATTGACAGAGTTCTCCCTATGTGTCATGAGTGCTTTTGGTAAAATTAGATTCTGCCCTGTCCACAACAATAAAGGCCATACCCGCATGCAGCTCACATAGTTCATATGCTTCCTGGAGCAAAACCACAGCAACGTTCAACTGTCTGTTTTCTTTTTTTATTTTCACAGTGGTTCCTGCCTTGGAATCAGGTGTTGGGTCTCACTGCCACTGAGAGCCCGGGGGTGCCCAAGTGCACAGCATGAACCAGGCAGAATATATCCCTCAGACAAGCAGAACACTGCAGAGACGGCGGCATCGGTCTGTGCCCATGGTCAGGCTCCAGCTTCTGTAGTTAATTGTTTAAACAACAGCAACAAATCAAGCTGCTCTGAGGATCTGTGTGCATTCCTCCATCAGACCTGATTTGTATGGTGAGGACAGGCTACTGAAAGGAAGAGAAGGGGCTGAATTATCCCCCGTGACTTTGCTAAATTTGTCCTTGTGAATGGAGAGGGAGTGAAATATTTATCTGCAGGGGGGAGCAGAGTGGTAACTGTCAGGAACAGCTGGAACATATATACTGTGTCGTGTCTTTTTGTGGCACTGGGCTGTTCTGCTTGCTGAGGGAATGCTGCAGAGGCATGTTAGCATTCTGCTGAGTAAGTGTGGTGCGAGTTCCATGTGTAAACAGGGATCAGTCGCTAGATGAGAGAAAAGGGCTGTTCTCCCAGGGCCATGACTGCCTCTTGCATGCACCTCAACCTTCACCAGGCCTGTGGGGTGATGTAAATTAAATATGGGGCTGGATTCTCAGAAAAATATCTGCTTGTGGAAATGTCGGTCTAGATAACTCCGGTGTCTCTTTCTCTTTCAATAACTATAAATTTGTGAATAAAATAAATTCTCCTGATTTTTCCCATCCTTTCCATCCTGGTTATTCATTTGTCCACAGGGTAATAAGAACTTTCGCTACTCTCAATATTAATAATAACACCACCAGTTGTTCTGCAACATTGAAATGGACAAGTTTAAATAGCACACTTAACTTCTTTAAATCAGTGCTCTGTAGAGTCACGAAGGAGTTTCCCATCAAATGCAATAAGCCAAGTGAGACAAATAAACCTAAGCAAATATGTCTAATTCCACACTTTCAAACTTGCCAGCATCACAATAATATTAAGAAAATAAATTTTATTTTTGAACTTTTTTAATTGAGTGTTGCCTGTGATTTCACCACATGTATTCAAAACATACTTGAAGTCCAAAACAAAATGCTAATGGATAAATGCAAAAGCTGGAACTAAAATAGAACACCCCAAGGGTTTCGCTGAAGTGTTCAGCCGAAATCAATTTTTCTTTGCTCTTCTTTCCCCTCACTTTCCATTTTCTTTCCATCCTCAGTTCACCCTCTGCATATGTTTTCAACTGCAAGACTTTTAAAACGAAGACTCTGTCGTTCACCATCATGATGATGGATTTAAGTAAATAATTTTATATTTTAAAAGTGGCCGAATAATCTTTGCATGGATCAGGACAAAAGTGAAATCCCACTTCTTCCATCAGGATGAGATACCATTCTTTTTTAAGCCTGTTATTATCAAACACATGCGTGAGTGACACATTATTAGCACAATGAAAGTCATCAGGGTAAGAAAAGAACTTTATTTGCTCTTTTAATGTTTGGAGCACAAATGCCAAGAAGGCACAGCAGCTTTCATAACAAACATGTTAACCCCCACATGCTCTGCTTAATTATGGCTTCCTGTATTTCTCCTCAGGCTACTGGCACTGTAAGTAAACTGGCACAGATTTTATTTGTTCTGATTATGCTGAGTGCAAGTTGTTGGGCAGGTGCTTCACAAGCAGCTGAGCCATTCCAGCAGTTCCAGAGGACGGGAGCTGTCTGACAGAGGAATGACACATCGAGCAGGGAACAGAATCGCTGTACCCCTCCCTGTCACCATGGCTACCACTCAGCAGGCGGTTTTTGGGCAGAAGTGCCAATTTAAGCAACTGCTGATATCTTATTATTGCCCCTGCATCACCCGCTCCCTTGATCAGGTGCAAGTGTGTAGTAGGCCACGGCATTTATCAGATCAGGAAACTAGTCCTGATCCAACTGGAAAATAAGCTCTCTTTTTTGACTCATTCTTTTCCAAACAGTCAGTTTTGTGATTCAGTTCCTCATGTAGGCACACAAATAAACTGTGTCTGTGCAATGGAGGCGATGGCAGAAGGGCAGGGACAAGTGACTTGAAAGATGGTGACTACTTGTGATCTAAGCAGCATTGCCACTGACCACAGCAAAGACAGAACCAGAGCTCTCCTTACGGTGTGGTTTGGTACTCAGTGCTTAGATCGTCTTGGTAGTCCAGGCTCCTTGTACCTGTGTCCTGTTCCCTCCTCATTCCCTCTGCTGCCTTTCTGCAAGTGGTTATGAAGCTGCACAAGGGAACCCATCTCTCTGAAGGATGATCCAGTAAAAAATGGGTATTGTTAGGACACCGCGGGGGTAACACATGAAGTGTATCACAACTCATTTTATTTTGGCAGACTGATGTTTTAAAGCCTTTAGGTTTAAGGCTACTGTATCTGTCAGAGTGACACAGGCAAGTCACATGTGGAAGGAAAGTGTGACTTTCCTTCCCTAAATAATTGTATGGCTGGATGCATCTCTCCAAGGAAAAGTCTTACAAAGCCTTGTTCACAAACCTGCTATTAAACATGTGAAGTTGTTAAAACATCACTGTGAATAAAGGATAAATGGAGCTGAGTGAAGGTGGTAGTAGAATGGAAGGTTGGGAATTAAATAGTATTGTAGGGCTGCATGAAAGTCACTCTCAAACAAAAACATATCAAAAGAAGTCTGAGCACATTTGAAATAAACTGTTTATAGTTTATTCATGACAGTTTTCATTTATGGTAGGATTCTTTTAAGATCAGTGATAATGTAAAGCACTAGCAACAAGAAAGCTATGAGTTTGTACAGATTTATTTATATTTTTATGTAAACGTACATAGAGCATATATTTATATATTGTATGCCATTTATAGTACATATTATATTAAATATAATAAATACATATTGCCACTACATTTTTGCTTGAAAAGTTGAAAAAAACAGTTATGGTTTCTAGTTTGTGAGATTCCAGCAGTGACACTGCAAGCTGTTTTCAGCCTGCCCTGTCGAAGAGCCCCAGCAGAGACACAAAAAATTCTGTGAAAGTATTAAACTCTCCCACTGGCCCGATGGTGCTGATCACACCTTGCAGAGTCAGGGGCACCAGGAGTGCTGTATCTGGGTAGGGGCACATGAGACTCCTGAAATTACAGAGTCGTGAAACCCAGTGAAGAATCACTGCGTCCACTTTAAGTCAAAGTTAAAAAGGACTTCTTAAAAATGAACACTAGCTGCCCTGTCCTTGAAAAAGCAGGAATTTCCCATCCTGGAAAGAGGCACTGACTACAAGGATATCAGCAAAGTTATGCACTCTGTGGGAGTATTTTTTAGTTGTGACAGTGGAATGGCAACCTGTCTCCTTGAAGGCACTTCTGAAAAAGTCTGTTTCCAAAAATATATGATGATGTGAGAAGAAAAATCAAGTTTATTCCTATTAAATTCATACAGGGGACTACATCCTACTAAAAAACCTTTAAATCTGCAAACCGACAAAGTCTGGCGGAGGGTGGAAGCTGCAGTGAAGGTCTCAGTGGGGACAGCAGCAGTGGGCACTGGCCCCGCCGGCGCTGGCTGCGCCTCCCTCGCAGGCCAGAGCCCTTCTCCGGCCATCGCGGTCAACCCCGCCGGGTCACCACGACACTTCACGGAGACCACCGCGGTCACCGCGCCCTCCGGCGCTCCCACGGCTCAGCTCTGGGGCTTGCTCACCCCGGGGCTCCGGGCAGGGATGGCCACTAATCCCGGGGCTCCTGGCATGGGCGGCCAGCATCCCCGGGGCTCTGGGCAGGGATGGCCAGCATCCCCGGGGCTCCGGACAGAGGGTGTCCAACATCCCCGGGCTCCGGGCAGGGAGTGTCCATCATCCCCAGAGCTCCGGGCAGGGGTGTCCGGGGTGATGCGCGGCCGGTGGCGGGAGAAGCCCGCTGTCGGTGCCGGTGCCGGTGCCGGGGGTGTCGCAGGCGGCGGCGGCGAGCCCTGGCCGCCCATCACGTGCTCAGTGTGTTGCATTGTGCTGGCGGCGGAGGGAGGGCTGGCCGTGTCAGTGATCAATGTCATGACTTCCTCCGCGGGCTGGAGCCGCGGCAGAGCGCAGCTGAAGGAAGCTGATTGCTGCGGGTGCGAATTGGCTGGGAACAATACACACACCCACACACCCGCACGGGCGGACAGGCACCCGCACACACGCACCCGGGAGCACGCACACACACGGGAGCACACACCCGCTCGCACACAGACCCGCACACGCAGGCACACACCCGCGGGCGGACACACACGCACACGCAGCCCGCACCCTGGATCCCGCGCCGCCGCTCCGCGCCGGGGGGGAAGATGAGCTCGGGGGACGTGGTTTGCACTGGATGGCTCATCAAATCACCCCCCGAGAAGAAACTCAAGAGATACGTAAGTGCAGAGGCTCTGCTGATATTTTTTTTTTCTCTCTCGCTGAAGGGATTTCGGCGTGTGCTCGCTGTCTCGTTGTCCCTTTGAAAGCTCTCTCCTGTTTCGGCTTCGCCTTGGACCAAAACAAAAAGATTTCCAAGTCCGTGCGCTTATGGAGTATTTTAGTTTGCACAGACATTCTTGTGCCCTTTGGAATTAACCTTTCCCGTCTCGTAAGATTATAATACTTCAGTTGTTATGCAACATATCAGGCTAAAAACCACATTTCGGTTTCAGTTAATGTTGCCGTAACTAGCAGAATTGTTGTAATAGTATTGCAGATGTCACTTTTCCAGGGACGGGCAAGAACATCCTAACCAAAAAAAAAAAAAAAAAAAAAGGAAAAAAACAACCAAACGGCCCAAATCCTAATAATTTAAATTCTGAGGCTCTGCTTTGTTAAGATGCTCTGTAATTGCAATGACACTTGCTAAAGGCAACATCTGCAATAGTTTTATTTACCAATGCCAGATGCAGCAGCCAGCAGAAAGCTTCACTTTCGGTCCGTGATAAAGAGGTGGTGGAAGATGCTGTTCTGTAAAGTTCCTCATAGCTGGAAGGTGAAGGGGGCTGGCGAGAATAAGCGAGCCCTGCATGGAGAGCTGCAACTGCGTTATGAGTGAAGGGGGCCCCTTGTTTCGTTCTCTATCTGCCTGCCTGTTTGGGAAAAAAAAAAAAAAAAGGATGTGTGTTGCAAACATAGGAAACTGTCTCGTTGCAGGGCTCTGAGGAAGGCGCTCCGGGTAGGAATAAATGACCCTTAAAATTTTGCTTGGGACAGCATTAAAAATGTAAAGCCCGTCGTGGGCCATTTTGCATACTCATTTGTGGTGGTTCTTCATCAGGCATGTTGATATGTTGTTGTGTTGTTACACTTTTGCATTCGGTAATACACGTTTGAGTCATGCCCTTCTAACCTAACTTACCCCCGAGCTCTGTGCTAGTAGGATGCCACCGAATGTCTCTCGCTGCCGAGCCGAATGCATGGCTTACATCATTTGTCGTATTCACTTCTGTTTATCAGCATTTTCTCCGGACTGCTGATGTTAGCTTTTTCTAGTAATATGAGGCATAACTGTATCATGAAGAATGTGGTGGATATCATTTGGTAGTGTATTTTTTTCTTAACACCAAAGACTACCAGAAAGGATAATTTCCTGATGTTAGATTTTAGTTTTAACTTATTCTAAATCAGAGTTTCTTCTTTTAGACCACAGTATTGCATTGAAATAGCTGAATATTTGCTTTGTTTGGTTAGCATTTTCCAATTCTAAAATAGCCACTATGATGTGTCTCAGGGGAGCTGCAAATAAAATATGGGTCTCTAATTTTTGCTCTATTTTGTAACGAGTGTACGAATAGGACTGTATAGCAGACACAGTGTAAGAGCCACTGATTCACCCAGCTGGTATCATTAGTAACTCTGTCAGTGAAGCTATTTTTGATGACTCAATATTCATAAAAGGGCAAAGTAGAGAAAACAGAATGTGATAAAGCTGGGATTTGAAAGCCCCCATTATACAGTCAAGATAATAGTCACAACAGGGGCTCTGATCAGCTCACAAGACTAGTTGCAGTCTGCTCTGCTCAGATTTTGCACAACAAAACCAAGGAAAATTTGTTCTATGTTATTCTCCAAACATCAACCACTAGATTAGCCAGATCTCTGCAGATTAGGCTCTGTTTTCTGGTTAGGAGGATAAGCTACTCCTTTGTCCATCATAAAGCAGAAATAAATCTGCTGCAAGTACAGCAAAGCTTAATGTCCTTTCTCATATGACTGGTTACACAGTGGATGCTACAAACCAGATGGAAATTGCCTCTCACCTGCTGTAAACTATTTTCCCTCCACTTTTTATATAGTTTCCCCAGCATGGCAGCTTGTGCATCTTGCACTGGGGTGGCAGATAGCTCAGGCTGAACCACAATGACTGCTTAAAAACAACAGAGCTTTAAAACAATAACTGTTTAAACTGACTTCAGTAGGTGTCAAGTGTCAACCGCTTACAGGAGAATGGTGTTGGCTCTGGTTCTGAACTGACAACATACATAAATCCCCAAACTGTACACCACCCTTTGTGTTCAGCTGGCAAAGCCCACGGTCTGAGCTGAGGCTTCCAGGGAGCTTCAAATGCCAGCTTGGTCTGCTGCTCATGGGACCTCTCCTACACTGCCAAGGCTCCGCTGCTCTCATGGGGTTGTCTCCCAGTTTACATTTTCCTGAGTTCAACATCCAGCCGTTGTAAGGTCCAACCTGAGGGTCACCTTGTTTTACACACAGAGAAATTCTTAATCCTCCACCTATTACAATCACTAAGAAAATCCAATTAATTTCAGTTGAATCTGTAGTTAAGAAATTAGACAAAACGATGAATTCATATTGTGAGACTGGGAACTGCAGATAGTCCCACTGAAGACACTGAGGATATTTACAGTGTTTATCAAATTAAACAAATTAATCTTTCCAAGACTGGAGCCTAAAGACCAAAGTATACCTTCATTTATGCTTGTTCTCTGAAGAAAACAATTAGGTTTTCTATGTGTAAACAAGTCAGCTTTTGGCTCTAGGTAAGCAGAACATTGTTTTCAAAACTTTGAAAAGCAAAAAGCAGGTGTTAAGAATCTATATTTTTCCTGTAATGTCTTGCAAAGCTGATGCTCTTAGTAGCACTATTCTTAGAAGTGTCTTATCATTCCCTAACAAAGGCTGCTCTCTTGCATGTGCAGGAAACGAACATGAGATTAATTACCCAAGTCTAACTTTCTGTAAAAACAGAGCGCTTAATGCTAAATGCACAGAATTCATTAGAAAGCACAGGGAGCTTTGCTACAGCAGGCAAATACTCTAATAGTGGTTTAATAGCGTGGGCAATGCTTTTCCCTCTGTCTGATACTTGAACCATGAAACCACCACGTCAGCCTATCTAAAGAGGCAGTTGTGCAAGGAGTCTCCCAGGAGAGTATTTGGTGTGTTTTGCAGTTCTTTGTCCTCTAACTGTGACCTGAAAGCTGTGCTGCTCTCATTTCCCCACTTCATTCCAGCTTTTCTCACTGATCAGGGCTGTGTGGGCCTGAGCGGGGCCAAGGAACACTCAAAGCTTGGGGAAGGCTGGATAGGGGGTGGAGAGAGAGAGGAAGAAGCTGCTAACAAAAACTAAGAAGTGGTGGTGATGGAGGTGAAGTCCATCCTGCTCCAGACCAAAAATGCTAAGTTTCAGGCATAGCTTGACATGCAGCCCCACAAGAGGAAAATCTGGCCCCACTGGAAATTTTGGTATTGATGTTAGTGGATCATGAGGAAATTAGATGCCATGGGAGAATCTGCTTCAAATTTGATGGGTTTCACAGTTCCGTATATTAGTGCTGAATACATCCATCCCAGTTCTGTAATGTCAGCATTGAACAGCTGGCTTTTTTATACTTTTCATATGGAAATATATGTGATCACTGATTGTTATTATTTGTTTTTTATTTATTGGTGGAGGTGGAAGGAAGAAATGGTTTCATGGCCTAGAAAACAAAGGACTTACCACAGCCAGTGCAAAAGTCACTATGAGAGGAAAAACAACATGGAAGAAGGCACAGAGGATGTTTAATGAAATAAGAGACTAGTACCATTGAGAAGACACATTGCTCATGTGCTGATAAGGAGATGGGATTTTTAACACACAGCTAATTGCAACTTGTCCTTAAACCACTGTCCCATAGTTTGTCACACCAGTGAGGAACAGCAGCAGTAGCTCTGCTGAATGACACACCAGTGTTTACTTACTGGCAGTGTTAAGTTACGTGGTTTGCAGTAGTAAAGGGCTATATACAGATGCTTGCTTGTTGTGAGTCAGTGCAGCTCCATTTAAGTCACTGCTGCACAGCTGTCCCCCTGCTGAAGAGCTATTTTTAATCTTCAGTACTATACAAATTGATGAGGGAAGACCACTTGCTCAAAAAAAAGGCAAGTTTCCCACTTTACTTGAGTGACTGATTTCTTCAAACGTTGTTGAAAAACAAAATTCCTTGTCAGCTTCTCTAGAACAAGAGTCCAAAATGGACCTTGTATTAGAAAATGTAGCCTTGCACTTCCTGCCACGCTTCTTCTCGGAGTGTCTGGTCTGGGAAGACAAATAGAGGTGTAAATTAGTGTACCAGATGGAAAAAGAGAGTAAAGCAGTGTCTGCTCCTGCTGCCTCTGTGCTTTGGGCTGTCAGAGGGGCCCAGCAGGGCGCAGGCGCACGTCTCTGACCGTTGGGGGATCTGCCAGGACCCGACCGCAGCGCACCATGGCCAGGGGTTTGGGAGATAAGAGAGTGTAGACAACTTCTCCATTTTTAGCTGAAGTTCTGGTATTTATCAGGAGAGCAAACGGGAAGTTACTGGCCACTAAGAAGAAAAAGTAAAGTAGAATTATGGAAGAGTTTGCTGAAGTAATAGGAACAAGAGCGGCAGAGCACTGCCGCGGGCGGGTGGGATGCAGAGCATCTGCTCTCGGATCTAACGTTGGGCTGCTGTCAGCAGAGGACACTGCCACCCTCCCCTAAAGAAATCCCCAAGTGCTATGTGAGGTCAAGTACCTCTTCTGCTGGTTTGGGGCTTGGGGGAAGTTTCCAAAAAATAACTATCAAATTGAAATCTGAACTTAATTTTTGTCCATAAAAAAAGCCAAACACTAAAGTATTTTTATTTCCAAATGCTTTCTACAAAGCCCCACCTCTTGAGTCCTCTCCCCTCTGAATATGGAATTATGGTCACCTTTAATACCTTTCTAGAATCCATATCCCAAGTTCTCATTGAAATAACTGACTTTATTTAACAAATTTGCGTGGGTTGTGTAACTGTAGTTCATAGTTTGGGTGGAAATAGTAGTCCCATGTGATGGAGAAAGGTGTCAGAGCCTGTGGCTTGTTCTAGTTGTAAGTTTTGTACCTATGCTTTTTCTGTTGTTACTTCATTTTAAAATCCACTGT